CTACTACTGCTACTACTACTAGTACCACTATTATATTACGACCACCACGACGACGACTACTGCGACCACGACGACGACGACTAGGTCACGAGATGGGGGGCTTCAGGAGGAAATTTCTGATCATGTCCGGGGTCGCTACAAGCTGAAACCCCACAGGCGCTGCGCAGTGGCGTGTTGTATCAGCCCGGTGAGAGAGACGATCTTGCATCTGAAAAGTGATATTATGGTTTAGTGTTGAGGGTTTAGGGTTTAGGGATTATGGTTTAGGGCTGAAGAGTTATAATATGTTATATGGCAGTATATCATGTGATATTATAAATTATAATGTATTATACTGTTTCTAGCGAGCGCAATGAGCTCTCAACAGAACCTGGCATTTGATCAATAAAGGCCAAGAAGAAGTCTGTACAAACATGCGACTCAAAAACAACAGCACCACGTCGACGATGATGAGATTACCTCGCTCATTACCTGGAGAGGCTGGAAGCCTTGGTGCGCCATCATCTGGAACTAAACGTATATTCCATACAGTATGGAACGAGGACAAGACCAGACTCGCAACGACATCCGACAGAGAGGAAAGGCTGCAGGAACCTTTCTACAGGTGTCGAGTGGGTGGCGGGGGTCTGCAAAATCAATTTCCTGCTCCTGCACATGACAAATGACTGGGTCTGTCTTGTACACAGCTACATGATTACATTAGTATCTTATCTATTTGCGTGTCTTGGTTGAAGGAAACTGCAGGTGGGGAGTTTAGGGTATATATAGGGCTTCTATAATCCATAAGGTCTATAGACCTTCTATAAGGCTCCTATAACGGTAACTACCCACCTGAAAATGTCCTAGAAATATGCCATGGTAACAACATAGAAGCCATTTAATCATATAAACCCCTAAACCCCAAACCCTAAACCCCTAAACCCCTAAACCCCTGAACTCCTAGGCGGCCTCTGCCTAAACCCTGAACCCTCTAAGGCATCCGCGAGGATGAGTATGGCATCCTCCTTGGGAAGCGAGTCAATGGTGAAGGAGCCGGTAGCCAGTCCCGCAACCTGATTCCAGGGTGAGGATTTGGGGTTTAGGGCTTAGGGGTTTCGGGCATGGTCTGGGGCTTAGGGTTAAGGCTGAAGGCTTCGGGTTGAAGTTTCAGGGTTGAGGGTTTAGGGGGCTTAGGGGTTTAAGGGTCTAGGGCTAGGGGTTCATGAAGCGGTCGTCGCCGGACGATCCCGACGAGAGTGACGCCGGGATCCTTGCTCCACATACTACACAGAGACGAAGAAAACATGAATTAAGGGCCAGCCTACCTCGAGCGTAACTGGGGTTTCCCACGTGACTTGGACTAACATGAACCGACACTCCAAGGGGTT